ATTTTACCTCAGCATAATTTTTATTTCTCACAGTTAATGGTACAAATTTTTACAGTATAAACAAATTCTCGTCCTTGGAAAACAAATCTTTTCTATTCAACTATTGCTAATTATCGCAAATAGAACCTCAAAAATCGCCTCTTCTACTACTACTGCTAATCCGTAAAAAAGAGTGATTTTCAAGTTCAAAATACCTAAATTTGCCTCCTTTCCCTCCTCCTCTTCTTCCTAAACAAAGCAGCCAAAATTTGCCCCCTCACTCCTTTTACGCACATACGTCACTGCAGCAAAACAAATCCAGTGCAAAAAGCCATTACGCGTCATTATGCCATCAAAATTTCATTCGTAATTAATTATTACTTTGGGCCAGATTATTAAAACGCGCTAAATTTGGACTACACCATATGAATCAGAAAGCATAAAAATCCACAAATTCACTATCAGTGACCTTCTGAAATTCAGCAATCCAGCAGGAATGACGCGCAATTCCTAGGCTATAACAAGACACAAAGCACTTTGAGGCTTGACAGTCGCTCGCATTTCAGGAGGAGGATAAACAATTTGGCTTTTTTTGAACTAGAAGAGATCGGTTATTCGTCACCAATCCAATGAACGTAGTTCTCTGGGCAGTCTTGACCAGCAGCTACTCGGCTCCTAATGGTCAGTGATGCTCTCAGTAGTTAGTGGAGCAGCTGAACGACAATTTTCATGCTTTTCGCGATACTACTCAGACCACTTTGCATTATTTCGGTCCATAACAAGTTTATAGAAGTGTTGTAGAAATTTTGAAGATACAAACAGTGAATATTCCTGGCAAGGAGACTGAAAGTGGGCCTGAAATCTTCTATGTGTTAACATATGCAGTATGTTTGGCATTACTGGCCTATAGAACTTTTCCTCTCTGAAACCCTCGGAGGTTCAGCCGCTTCAGATTTTTACAAATACAGGCATCTGAGAATTTTCACTGGATGCAATACGACAAAATCAAAGTCAAAGACAACAGGAAGCTAACAACAGTCAAGCCCCGCAAATGTTTAGCTT